ATTAAATAAGATTATATATGGAAAGGTTAGTCTAAAGCCTGGAAACAGCAATGTATGTAATCTAAAGGGAAGTTCAGATTCCCAAACTTGGTGATTATCTGAAGTTTGAACCAAGCCAAAATCTGTTGTGTTCTAATTAATTAATATCTYTGTGGCCTCTGGCCTCTCCTGGAGGGGGATCAGTGTTCCTTCCCATACGAAGATTTACTCCCTACAACCTAGTTCAGGCCTCCAGAAAGCCACAYAGCAGGGTCACAACACACCTCCCCTGTCCCCCAGGTGCTGGGGTCTGAGCCCAGGGCCTTGCACATGCTAGGCAAGCAGTCTACTGTTGAGCTACGTCCTTAGTCATGGGTCACACCATTTTTGACACTTGGAGTTAGGTGATTATTTCATCATGCTGTGAGAATTTCTAAGTCCCTGAATCAAGGCTGAAGGTAGGTGTAATTAGTGCTAAGTTGATAATCTACAAATTCCTCTTTATCCTCTAGCCACCCTTGGAGTTAGATTAGGGGCTATGTGTCTAGTGTAGGTCTTTGTCTGGAACCAAAAATTATGGTGTCATTTCAGAGAAAAGCACTGAAGACCCAGAGTGCCTTCTCCTTTCACGAACTTCATGGTGACGCCAGTTGTCATGTTACAAATAGAGAGCTACAAAATGGTAAGTGGGGAAAAATATATCTTCTATACCTAAATGACCATCTAGAACAAGCCTCCACTCCACCCCAACCCAACTTACCTCAACTTGGAATACAAGAGAGAACTAAATATCTGCTGTATTAAGCCACTGAGATTTGGGGGTTAATTTATTACTATATTATCCCTAGGAAAATACAGTTGTTTTAAAGAACTTGTGAAGATAAAATAAAAGAGATTTCAATGTCCAATGATGACATACCAGGTAATTCAGACAACCTTCCCACTTAGGAAAGTTGAACAAAACATTTTAACAATCTGCTTGAAAGCATTGGAAAAACAACATGGTAGTGAAAAATCACCAGCTTGCCATCTGACCAACCAAGAAAAGATGAAAATCCAGAGAAGTGAGCTTGACATTTGAGGATACTTTTCTCCTAGGAATATTTGTTAATCCCAGCAAAATCAGTGTTTGATAGCTGAGCAGTATGATGGCCTGGTATGGAGGGGAACACAGTTGGACACTGGTAAGAACACAATAGTGTGAGTTGGAACCCTGAAGTGCTGTCTTGTAGGAGAGGATGAATTGGAAAGTAAAAGAGCCTTCACACAGCTTGCAGCCCAGCTTCCAATCATCAGGTGGCCCAGAATATCTCAGGCCCTGCAACTGGACTAAGGTGATCCCATATAGCTAATGGGYTCAGGCTCCTGGAAGAAACAAACAAAAACTTTCCTGGAGGAAAAAGCAGGGGGCATTGTTTTAAGCTGAAAATTATTCTTCAAGCAATTTTCCAAATACAATGTCTAATACAATAAAGAAAACAAGGCATCAGCCCAGATAAGATTATATGAACAAGAACCAGAAAAATCAACAGAAAATAGGAACAATTACATGGCTTCCACATATTGGCACTGATCAGAATTTAAAACTTTAGCTTACTAAATACAAGGTCGAAATTTTTACAAAAAAAAACCAAACCTGTAAATATTTATTTATTTATTTATTTATACTGATGATTGAACCCAGAAGTGCTCTAACACTTAGCTACTCCCCTAGCCCTTTCTAGTTTTTATTTTGAGACAGGGGCTCAATAAGTTACTCAGGGCCTTGAAAAATTGCTGAGGCTGCTCATGAATTTGCAATCCTCCTGCCTTAGTCTCCCTGGTTGCTGGGATTATGGGTGTACACCACCAGTCCCACCGTGGAAATATTTTTAAGAAGACTCAGCAGAAATAAAAGAAGAAGCAACAAAAATTCTAAAACTGAAAATGCAATAACTGAAATTAAGAAAGCAATGGATGAATTTTTATCAGATTAGAACTTGCCAGTCAACCTACTTTATATACAAACAGAGATTTGAAAAATTGTGGTTGTATATGTGTAATAAGAATTGTAATGCAAAAAAACAAAGTAAATGTTTAAAGATATGAATTGGCATGAACATACTTTATATACAAAGATATGAAAATTGTGCTTTATATGTGTAATAAAAAAAAGAACTTGCTAAAGAAAGAAAGAACTAAAAAATAAATCAGARTTACAAGTAAAAAGACAAGGCTAGAAAATACATAGGAGATGGTYAGAGACTCCTAGAGAGAATAGAGGGAATGAAGCAAAAGAAGTATCTTAAGAGATAATAATAGCTCAATAGGGGTAGAGAGGGGAAAAAGGGACAATAACTGAGAATTATCCAAAGCTGGTGTAAGACATGGATCTACAGATTGAAAGTTAGGCAGAGAGGTGCAGTGGTGCCTTCCTGTAATTGCAGCCACTAGGGAGGCTGAGGCAGGAGGATCAGAAGTTTAAAGCCAGCCTCAGATGATGAGGTACTAAGAAATTCAGTGAGACCTTGTCTCTAAATAAAATACAAAATAGGGCTGGGATATGGTTCAGTGGTTGAGTGCCCCTAAATTCAATCCCTGGTTACCACCGCCCCCCCCCCCAAAAAAAAAAAAGAAAAGAAAGTTTTATTATGTGAACTTGGCAGAGAAAAGAAAGACGGAAACTGTTCTTTTTAAGTCAAAGATAAACTCTGAGAGTTCTGGCTTATATGAAAGAGTGAGATAAAAACAGAGAAGGAAGAATGGGTCTGTTGGGGTTGGAARGAGGTATGAAGCAGAAATAGCAGACTCCAATTTTTACTTGTTGAATTTAACATACAARCAAGAATAACACTGGTCCATTATTTCTTGAATAACTATTATTTTTTGTCATGACTTTTATGATCATCCAAAACTTTTATTATTTGGAAAAGTCAATCAAGACTTTCTTATCTCAAGAATTCAACACCCTCAGGTCTTTCCTTTCTATCCTAGAATCTATACTCCACCTCCAAGTGTTGCTCTACAAATGGATGTTTGCAGCAAATTGTACAAGACAAATGTGGAATTTCTACATATGAAACTAACTTCAAATGATGGAATAAACACAATTTTCTATTATAATCTATAATATTACATCAAAGCTTATCTTAAAGGTTTTTTTGTGTGTGTGGTATATTTAGTTATTTTGTTTTATTAACACACACAAAAAATAATCCACTGGCTACTATAAATTTTTTACTTAAGAAACAGGACAATTTTCACAATAAACTCTGTGTCTGATGAATGAAAGTGACATAGGATGCTTTCTTTATGACTAAAATATTCCCCAAAAAGGTTAAAAGATGATATCAATAATGTTTAATGAGCACTTTTATATTCTAAGGGGCTTACATGGATTAATTCCTTAAAGAGATTTAAAGATATCTTATAAATTATATACCAATGATATAAAGAATATTATTTAATGGAAATTCTGGCAATTCTTTTTTTTACCCAAGATTACTCTTGTTTTGTTTTTGTTAGTTCTCATATTATTCTTTTTATAAAATACATTATAATTCCACAGATACAACTAGGCAACAGAAATATATATGGGAAAATTAGAGGGAAAAATACTTTACTATAATATACTACAAGAAAGTGTATCTTTTTTCCATGATATCAAACTTTTCTTCTAAAAATAATAAAATTTTCAAAATCAATGAACAGGAAAATAATTTTATTTTTAAATAATMTTTTACATGCCACATTACATTTTTAAATATATGCAGAGAGTACCCATGTTATTGCCTGATGCAATCAAAGATGAGTTTTTCAACACCAATGACAGGTTTAATTGTCTCAGTTTTTTTCATTGTAGTATTTCCCTGTAGAACTACTGCTATATTGTTGTGGCTTCCCTGCATATCATTCCAAAGAAAGTTATTATGAAAAGTTCCACCATAATTTTGTACAATTTAATTAAACTTCTTAATATAATCACAAGCAGGAAAAAGCTAAAGACATACTTTTTTAAAACAGAAGATTCTTTCAAGACAATTTTATCTAATAAAATGCACAAACCTACTTCTGAAACTATTAAATGTCTTAAAGATTTGTAATTTGAAACATTATTTAACTACATTCTTGATATTTCAAAGGGTTAAAATTTAATAGTCAACCCCTTGTTTATTTCTTTTCAGCCATGCTGACTATTGGATTCCTGGAAATTTGGTTCTCTTGCTTAGCTTCTTTTTTTTTTTTCTGCTTTACTGATTTGAATCTCTCATATAATTTGWGATCCTGAATATTTTAAAAACCTGTGAATTTATAAAATGGTTGGGTTCTTCAATTAACATAGGACCCTAAGTTTCTTAGAGTCCAGACAGTCATTTAATGTTTGAATTCCCTCTGCCACTCCCATCCCCCACACCTATACCAAAGAGAATTACCCAACAAGACATTTCATTCCATTTCCAATTTTCATTACTAATAATGTCTTCCCTGTCCTGAGCTGAAATCTTCTTTCRTACAACTGCCACTCATTTTGGGCTTTGCCAATCTCAGCACTAGCCCTGGCCAGATGACCTTGGGCAAGTTAATGTCGTGTTGCTTTAGTTTCCTTAGTTGTAAAATGGAGATAATAAATGTATGTTATCAATACATGGAGATTAAATAAAAATGTTTATAAAGCACCTGGCACAACAGAGGGCCTCTAAGAATGGTACCCTGTATTAGAAATAAGAAACCCTCCTCTGCATGGCTGCCATCTGAGGTGTGGTAGCAACTATCATTTACTCTCCTCTTGATCAAACACCCCCATTTCCTTCCATGTTTCTTTGAACAAAAAGATATTGTCTTCCTTATTCTTCTAGTCATTCCTTTGCACACAAGTTTAGTTCTTTGAGAAAAGGGTCAACTGCCAATCCAAATATATACGTATTAAACTATTTTATCAACTGAGAACAAACTCTAGATTCATGTCATTGCAGAATAATATTTTCTTTTTTACATTGCTATTTAATCTTCTTCCTTTCCCCTCCTACCTCAAGTGTCCCCATTATGTGGCCCCCTGGCAAGCTGGACTCTGAGGAAGGCAATCAGTATGGATACTTTATGGTTCTAATGTGAGGAAAAGACAGAAGCACCTCTCAGACATTAGGATATATCTGAGAAGTTTCCCTCTTCGTTCTGGTAGGACGTCAGTTCTCCCTCCTCGAGGGTCATTTCTCTCTGTCCTCTGTGTTCCTTCTTCTGGAATTCACAATTTTGAGTGGTGGCGCCATAAGACATCTTCTTTCTGGGACTCACAAAAGTCTCATGGTTGAGTTCTGTCTCCTCAGCTAATTCATCTTGGTCAATGATTCCACATTTCTCCTCACAGAGAGACTCTGGGTCAGCCCAATCCTGTTTCTCCCCAGAAGCAAAGATGCCATAGAAGATCACACCACTGTAGTGCACCAGTGCAGCAATGAGGAACACATTCTGCCACTCCTCACGGGTCTAAATGGAAAACAAAATGCAATTAATGTTTTCACCTAAACAAAATGCAATTAATGTTTTCACCTAAAACAGAGATCTAGCAGTGTGTTCTGAAGGCCTTCACTGAGACAAAACTACCTGCCAAACCCAAGGCAACACTGTGCTTCTTAGGAGGACATGGTCAGACGCTGCATTAAGACTATAATGAGGGTTAGGGTTGTGGCTCACTGGTAGAGCACTTGCCTAGCATGTGTGAGGCACTGTTCACTTCTCAGCACTGCATATATAAATACATAAAATAAAGGTCCATCACCAACTTTAAAAAAAGACTAGAATGAATGTGATTTTGAATTTTAAAAATACATTTTAAAATAAATGACATGCAAAAATGCATGCTGCACCATTGCATAGCTCTCCTAAACATACAAATGTGCTTTCCTGTGTCACAGTAGACTAAGCCACACTTGCTTTAGGATCCAACAATTTTAAATATCAGAAATCTCTTTCTGGCTTACTGTTGGGTAAACAATATCTGAGCCATTGAAGTGTTCACCCTTTATGATCAGTAGCTTATTTATAATCATATTTTCTACGTAAAAAGTAGTAAATCAAAAAATAGGGACTTCGGTATAGATCAGCAGTAGAGTGCTTGCCTCGCATGCACAAGGCCCTAGATTTCATATCCAGTCCTGCAAAAGTTGGGGAGGATAGTGTTTAAAGTAAGCAGAAGATAATATCTTAGATTGATAGGCATGTTACTGATCTTATCATCTCATGAACGAAGAGGGGAAAAATGGGGCTGAGTRCTTGCCCAGCATATGTGAGGCCTGGGTTTGATCCTCAGCACCACATACAAATAAATAAATAGAATAAAGGTGTTAAAAAAAAATTCCTTCCTTTTAAAAAAAAAGGGAAAACATGGATTCTCTGGCTGTCTCCAAATTCCATCTTCCTTTTTTGTCAACGAGCAAGGAAAGTTACCTCACACTTTCTTCTCAAAGAAGATGGAAGAATATCTGAAGTCATATTTGTAATAAGCAATTTGACTAAGAAAATAGGCCAAAACCCCATACCAGCAAATAATTCCTGATTATAAAAAGTGGATCCTGAAATTTTTTCCCGATAGAGATACAGAAATCAAGTGGCCTATGGTTGAACTCTGGATGGGTTGCAGGATCTCTCTGTACCTCCCATGCTGGTGTAAATACACAAAGGCTCAATAAAGACTGAGTTCCACACCCTTGAAGGTTCTTAGGAAGGATCATTAATGTCTTGTTTATTTTGCTTCTGAACAAGGAAGTAGAGCAGCACTAATATTCTTATGCTAGAACACACTAGGCAATAGATGGAAATAACCTATAAAGTTTAATCACTTCAAATTATAAAACAATCTTGGTAACTCATTTATCCTGAGTTGATTGCCTCAGTTTCTTCTTTGGGTCTCTCAATGGTCTCTGTGACCTTCATCCTTGTCCCCTACACCTTTATTTCTTAGTTGAGAAAACATGGAACCAAACAAAAATCAGTCCTGGTGGCATCAACAAGTAATGATATAAGAAACAGGAGGAGGAGGAAAGAAGAGGAAGAAGTGGTTCAGCAACTTCATCAAGGTTAAGGACACATGTATTTACATTTTCAGGCTCAGGTAGGGCCTTGAGATCTCAAGTTTTTCAGCACTTCTACTATAACCCATAACCACAAAGGAGACCATTCATTACCTTGTGCTTGGTCATTGCACCAACAATGAGGGGACAGACCATTCCAGAGAGGGTTCCCACTCCATTTGAGATCCCCATGAGAATGCTGGCATAGCGGGGAGCAATGTCGAGGTGGTTGACGTTAAAACCTACAGTGAAGCCAAAAACCTCAAAATCAGAGTCAAGAATGGGATTTCAGATATCCTTTGAGAAACACTTGTTGTGCCCYGATTCTCACCAATCTACTGGATACCCTCTAGTATATAACTAATGGGCCCTCTACCAAGAGGCCTCAGTTTAGCACTGCCAGGCTGTGTCTGCACAAAACAGTTAAACATGCTACTACTAGCCATGTCTGCTTGGGTTCTGGATGGGGAGAATTGCAGCATGTGTGTCCTGTAGATCTGGAACTCCAAAACATAGTGTTTAGGGAATCCTGAAAAGCCAAAGCCTGTACCACATCGCTTCAGAGTAAACAATCAAATTGGTAGAATCCAACTTTACTTTGTAATGTGTCCCCTCCTRCCCCCAGACTCACTCCTAAAAGGYCCTGTAGGTAAGTCTGCCTTCATGTCCATGCAGCTTACAGGAAAGGCTGGGTTTTGGTTTTTGTTTTTTAAATAATAAACATTTGCATAAACAGTAGCAGAGCCCTCTATAATTGATAAAAACACTTTCACACACCTACTTGATTTGGAGTCTGTGCATTTCGGATTTGAATTTTATTTCCATCTCATACTCAAGTGCATTTTTACCTTAGTTCTCTCATCACTAAAGATGAGGATCCTCATCAGTAAAGATGGTGGTCTTGTGATTCACCTCCTAAAGATACTGTGGCCTGAGGCTCAAGAGAAACGGGTATCTGGGAGCCCTTAGAAAAGAGCTGAGCTATTGTAACCACCATCACCACTGCTGCTTCCACTGTCATTGCTAAGCATTTCCCTGTCTCTGGGGTCTTCTATCAAAATTGGTGAAAGTGGTAAAACAGGAGGTAAGATAATATGTTGCCAACACCTCACTGTAGAATTCATTTGTCAGGAGAAAAGAATGAGTAGAAGGAAGGGGAAACCAGTGAAGGAAGGAAAGGCAGAGCTATGAACAAGGCTTGAGGCAGTGGAAATCAACTTTGCCAATACAGCCCAAGGGTGCATTTCAGAGTCAGCTCTGAGGTGCAACCCGAGTCTAAGGATTTAAACTTCCTAAACCTAAGTTTCCTCATCTATAAATTGAGGGTAGTTATTCCCATACATTTTTGAGTATTAAATTRAATGCATGAACCTTCTATAACTGATAAAACACTTTCATGTGTTTGAATGTATGTTGAATACCTGCTACCCAGAGGTGAGAGCCAACACCTATACTCTTGATAGGTTGTTAGCCATCTGTCTTATTTACCACTACCTCCCCTGCACTAGAAAAGCGTCTGGCATAGAGTAGCTACTCCCTAAGTATTTGTTTAATYAATAACTAATTTCAGTTACTGAAATTACAGCAAGGGGTTGTAATTTTGTTTATTCATGTCTTTGTTTCCCTTGTTTGTTTGTTTTTTAATTCTCTTTCTGTACAAAGAACCTGGAAATAGGATTTAAAACAAACATTTTTTTYCCTAATCTTGCATATTGTTTGGCTGCTTTTTTCCTACCTCCATTCATGGAACATTTTTGAGAAAACCATTTCTGTAATAAACATACCTTCTCTTTCAGATCAAAGTGCCAGCAAGTCAGAATATAAAACAGCTGCAAGATTAATTAATCTTACAGTTCATTTGAATGTGATAAATACTTTATTAGAAAAGAACCCAGAGATAAAAAGCAATTAATGATTGTCTAGTATTATATTCTGATACAAAGCCTAGGCATCTGTGTTCAGCTAAAGATAATGTGACAATATCTCAGTTTCTTGATAATTGCTCCACAATCCTAGTGTTCTGGGTGTGGGGGCAATCATCAAGAAACTGAGATATTGATAGATTTTTGTAGCAAATGAGAAACTGGGAGAGTCTGTATTTTCTACAGAGAACATCTCCCAAAGTGGCCGTCACTCRGGCTTAGCATCTTTCTAGCCTCACCTATCAAGATTGTCTTGTGTATAATCAGCTCCCGAATTGTGCCAGTCTTCCCCAGAATCCTTATTTATTCCTTGCAAATTTTGCAGACAGCAGATCCTTAGGAACTATCACCCTCATGGATACAGTCACTCCCACAGTGTCATTGTTGAGTCAGATAGACTTTTATTTCAATTTAAGCTACTCAACATATTTAGGTAAATTAAATTACCTTTCTGAGCTTCAATATCCTCATCAGTAAAATGGACATAGCAATTCCCTTATCATAAGGTTGTGATGGGGATTAAATGAGAGATCGTGCTTTAAAAGTGGCAAGCATGCCATAATCCCAGCAACTAGGGAGACTGAGGAAAGAGGATTGCAAGTTCAAGGCCAGCCTCAGCAACTTAGCAAGGCCCTAGGCAACTTAATGAGAACTTGTCTCAAAATAAAAAGGGCTGGGGATGTGGCTCTGTGGTTAAACATCCCTGGATGCAATCCCTAGCACCCTCCTCCCCCAACAACAACAACAAAAAAAAAAAAAAAAGGAGGAAAGAAAAAGTGGCAAGTGGCAAGCATTAAGTGTTTTTTTTTTTTTTTAAATGGCAACAGCTATGATTGGGGGCATTGGGTTTCTCTCCTTCTGATTGTGACTTAATTGGCAATCCAAAGGAAAGGAAGCAATATGAACCTGAACGTTTCAATATCTCTGAAGACAGGATATGAATCTCTTTTGCATCACAGAGTTATCAAGGGAAGGTGTCCCCCAACATCCTACTGGAAGAAAGTCATGACTGCTCTATCCTGGCTACTCAGAGGACGCTATCAGCATCACTGCGGAGCTTGTTAGAAATACAGACCTCAGGCCCCACTCTGGACCTACCAAATCAGCCTCTGAATTCTGCAAGATCTTAGGGTAGTTTCTACTTGCATTAAAGTTTGGTAAGCAAGGGTTAGTGTGCATAATAATATAGCAATAGCAACAGTGAATACTTAAAATTTTGTTCTGCCTCTGACGCTGTGCTAAGGGCTTCAAATACCTTGTTTCCACTTGAATGTTAACTTTCTGAGGGCAGAATGTTTGATTTGTTCACTGTATCACCCCACTGCTGAGAGCAGTGCCTACCTAGTAGAAAGTGTGGGGGAATGCATCAAAGATCTCCATCCATCCTCCCAACAACCCCATGAAGTTGTGGTTGTCTCTCTCCAATCTCTGGATGAGAACTTAAATAATTTAGCAAATTTTTCTTTTATAAATGAAAAGTAGTTAAGGATGGTCTTGCACCCAGGTCCAAACCCAAATTCCTAGATACAAGCTACTTTGAAAGTAGACATTTCTTCCCAATTTATTCATTAGCTCTATTTACTTTTCATAGATATCTCAAGCCCCTATTTTAGGGTAGTTTAGACCAAAAGTTCCATCTTTTTTTGTTCTAGCACATTACCACTCTATTTGATATTAAAGGTAGGCTGAGATAATGAGAAAAATATAGACAGATGACAGGTGTAACTGTGCTTCTGTCCTTTTGTCACCAACCATATGGCATTAGAAAAGTTCCCAGTTTTTCTGAGTTTTTGTTAAATATCAGTAAAATAATGAAAAATCAGTAAAATATTGATACTACTACTTGCTTCACAATGCTGTGAGATAGATGCAATTATATGAAATTTTTGGTACAATTTTTATTGAGATATTTAAAAATTAGACAAACAACTAAATTTTGCTTTCCCATCCAGTTTTGCACAGGAGCTTCTGAAGTCTATTAGATATGACATGGTTGCACACTGGCTTCTCAAAGTAGATTGATTTCTGCCCCTGTAAAATGGGGATCCTAACAGCACTGATACCCCTAGGGTAGTTATGGGAATGATAGGGCTTAATACACATAAAGAGTTTTGAATATGCTTGATCAAGGTCAGCTTGCGTCTTCATTACTATTCCTACCTGCTCCACCTGTCCTGAAAGTCCACTTCCCTCCCCAGACCTCCATTTAGAAAATGGAGCCTTCATTTTCTAAAATCTAAGGAAATTTCCTTAAAAAAAAAAAAAAGTAGGTCTCTGCTTGTGTCTCAAGGAAGTCACCTGTGACTTTTTCCAGGGCAGAGTAAGTAGGGACAACCCCAGCTTAAATGGATGACTAAGTCCATCCCAGTCATCTTACAATGTCTCCCATTAGATAGACTCTCTAGGCAGTGAGTGGTCCTGTTCCTCAGAGTGGCCTGGCTACTGAAGGAGGGGGCTACAAGGCCCTGTCTTTCCTTCCTCCTAAGACAAGATTCAGACACACCAAGGATACTTTACCTGAAATGGCAAAGCCACTAAATCCTACAGCAAGCACCAGAAAGGAGATAGCCACCCCTTTGGTGTGGGAAAAGCCAACCACCAGGAGCAAGGTTGCCTCCATGCCAAAACCTGTAAATGGAAACAATGGGGGGGAGTGTCATTTTCATGTCAGCCAGAGGTTATTAATTTATCAAATAAGAATGAATCCATATTTCCATGGGCCTAGGTTTTGCTCCATACATTCTAGCACAATGCTATTACCCAGATGGGAGATTCTGTGAACTTGATAACATTATCTTGGTGCACATTGAACACCAAATGGTTCCAGTGATGTTCCTGGGATGAGGAATGTTATTATTAGTCACTTCATGAGTTGTTGTACATACTCTTTCTAAATACTAAAACTCTTCTACATTTTTTTACTGATTCCTTGTTTGACTACATAGGTTACGGCCTCCCACATAAAAATAACATGACAAAATGGACATAGTGCTATACATTTGTGATCACGGTTGTTCAGGTGGCTAAGGTAGGAGGACTATGAATTCAAGGCCAGCCCAGGCAATTTAGCAAGATCCTGTCTCAAAATATTTTTTTTAAATAGGGGGAAGAGTGTACCTCAGGGATAGAGTGCTTGCCTAGCAAGTGTGAAGCCCTGAGTTCAATCCCCCATACCACAAAAAAATAGAATTAAAAATAACACAACAATATTAATATTTATTGCCAGAAATTGCCAGAAAGCTGTAGTAGATAAATATCTGAAATAAAAATCAGGGCCTGACTGCTTGTAACAGAGAAAGCAAAATTCTTCACCAAATCTCAGATATTTGCATAAAAACACAGCAGGACAAAAGTACTTTCTGTTCCTTTCATTCAAAATAAGTGAGTCCAGCACAATAAAAATGGATGAGAAAATTATGAAGAATTTCTTCTCATAAAAAAAAAAAAGTCAGCCCACAGCAGACAATTAAATACCATTTGCAGTATGTGAAGTGCCCTGGGAACGGGGAGACAATCAGCGATGCTTCATTCTGGAGACTGCTGATGCTAGACATCCCCATGCCACTGACCTACAGTTACATCAAAGGCAACATACCCAAACCACGTCTCCGTTCCCCTACTTTTTTACTCCTAAGAAAAATGAAGCAACCACCACCAATAAGTTCTTTGTTTTCCTTCTCTAAATTAATCTCCTAATATTCATGTTGAGGACCCAGACTATAAAAGTCAGACGAGATTGGCATTCAGTTCCACCTCAGAATCACTGATTGTGTAACCCGGGACAAGTTACTTCACCTCTTCAATTCCTCACTGGAAAAAAAAAAAACAATGGAGATAATAATACAACCTAGTAGCATACTGGGAGACGAAATGCAATTGCATATGTGAGGTGGATGGGCACTGTTCAACAAATGGTTACCAAAAGTCCAATGCAGGAACTTGAGAATCATCTTGTATTTCTCTTCTTTCCTCTGTTTCCACATAAAAATCTATAGGTTTGTCCTCAAAAATATCTACCAACTTCCACTTTCCCTACCTCTGCCTCTGCCCTAGTCCTGGGCCCCCTTTGCCTCTCACCCAGACAATTACAATAGCCTTTTTGGTGGTCTTCCCTCCTTGTCCTCCTCTGGTCCATTCACTCACCACTGTCTTCCTAAATCACATGTCCCTTCTTTGCTTAAAACATTTGTCAAGGGCTCCATGTCGATAGTACAGCATTATATAATAGTCCCTCTTGCTGTTCCAGTTTCCTCTCCTGCCAGCCCTCACCTCTGACCTCACTGTCCATGTGCCAAACATAGCCCTCTGTGTTGCATTAACAGCTCTAAAACTTCTCTAATCCACACAACCTGTCTCATGCCCATGTGTATTTTCATGTACTATTCCTTGCCTGGGACATTCTTTTCCCACCATCTTCTCTTTTTCTAGAGAAGTTATTCTCCTTTAAAGTTCAGTTCAAATATTGTTCCTCTAAAAGATTAACATTAAACAGAGACATGAGGTGGGAGGGAAAGGGAGAGAAAAGGGAAATTGCATGGAAATGGAGGGAGACCCTCATTGTTATACAAAATTACATATAAGAGGTTGTGAGGGGAATGGGAAAAAAATGAGAGAAATGAATTACAGTAGATGGGGTAGAGAGAGAAGATGGGAGGGGAGGGGAGGGGAGATAGTAGAGGATAGGAAAGGTAGCAGAATACAACAGTTACTATTATGGCATTATGTAAAAATGTGGATGTGTAACCCATGTGATTCTGCAATCTTTGTAATGTTTTGAATAACCAATAAAAAAATAATAATAAAAAAAATATTGTTCCTCTACAAAGCTTCCTGGAAAACTCTACGCCACCCTCAGTCAGTGAAACTGACATTTCTTTCTTCTTCTTCTTACTTGCCATAGAACTTTTCACACTGCTTTGTAATTTTTCATTTGTGTTTCTGCCTCTCCCACAAAACTGTAATTTTAACACAAAATCTAGCTTAGCACAGAATGCACACCCAATAAATAACACTTAATGAATTAATGCCAGGGAAAGAAAATGGGATCAAAATATTTAGGTTGGAATGAAAGCTATAGCACTTATTGTAAATTTGGTTAAGTTACTCATTTCTTCAAAACTACCATAGAGAAAGGCAAGTATTAATCACTATTTTAGACGGAACCAGTTGTGCTTTTAAAATATGGGTTTGGGTCAGGTAGAGTGGTGCATACCTGTAATCCCAGCAGTTCAGGAGGCTGAGGCAGGAGGATCACAAGTTCAAAGCCAGACTCATCAACTTAGTGAGGCCCTAAGCAACTCAATGAGACCCTGTCCCTAAGAAAAATATTAAAAAGGGCTGGGGATATAGCTTAGTGGTTAAGTGCCACTGGGTTCAATCCCTGGTACAAAAAAAAAAAAAATACTAGGTGTGGGCTGGAGATATAGCTCAGTGGTAGGATGCTTGCTCATCATGCACAAGGTCCTAGGTTTGATCCCAACCTTGGGGGATAGGGAAGAAAACTTGGTTTTATATCATTTGCTACTTGTTCTTAATTTGCTTCATAGTTTCAAATTAATCAGAGAAAAATTGCTGGTGTTCAATATACTGACTATATGTGTTTTAGAAGTAACCTACCTTAAATAACAAAGCATTTGACCGACTCTCTTTAACATTTCAACAAAGATTGTGCCAGAAAGTTGATTCCCCCAAAGAATTAGAATGAGGACATTGTATGAAGAATAACACTTAGAAATGATATGTATTGCTTCATCTGTAAGAATAAAGGTGATCTTGACCAAATTGTTAGCAGATTGCCAAAGTAAGTAAAAGCAGTGAAGAGCCTAAATGGTTTCTCTTGATGGTTAAAGTGCTAGAGATAGGACTGTATGTTTCAGGAGCTTAAGGATAAAATTTGAATTTCAGGGATAACCAAAAGATCCTTAAAAATGAACCTATGTAAAGTTAAGATGAACAACATTAAGATTTAAAGACCCTGGGTTCAATCCCCAGCACCACACACACACACACACACACACACACAAAAGATTTAAAGACCTAAGAACATTTTCATTTCATATTAAAATAGCCTGGGGTTCACACAGGCAACTGATTCAGCCAGACTAGAATTTTTTCGTTTTAGTCATATTTACAGGTACTACAGTGGGGAATACAAGGATCTTGGAAATATGCCCTGAGTCAGAATGAACTAGAACAGAACATCATGTCTTAAGGTGATCTTCTTGTTTTAACTGTTTTTATCAACGCATGTCTCTTGTCTGTGGAAAAAAAAGAAGGACAAAACAGGTTCCAAGATGCATGTGATCCTTCTTAGATGTGAAATGGCCATGTAATTCTTTTTAGGAAACATGAAACCAACTGAAATTCTCTAGAAGATCCTCACAAGCATCTTGTCATATCAAAATAAATCTGGATTTTTCAGTGATCATACTATGTTTTTAGGTAGTTGTCACTCATCTAGCATCTCTATTTAAACAAAGAAGGATGACTGTGGTCTTTTTCTGTATTTTTTTTAAGTTTCTACGTAAAATTCACTGATCATACTATGTCAAAATATAAAACAATAAGAAAAAAAACAGTGAAAAGGTATTTTTAAAAGATGGGAGGAATGTTTGGGAGATATCATATATATTCTACTTTCTGCATGAAAAAAATTTTTTTGTCTCAACGGGCACTTTGTTAGCACTTAAAATTTTTTTGAGTTCTCATTACCAATACCCAACACCATCTCCACCACGGTCTCACTCTGACTCCCGTCTCCACCATCAAATTGCCTTCTCTGGCACTTAGCCCCCTGTGTCCTCTTACACAAACCTTTGTATTACATTGGGCCCACCCAATAATACAGGATAATCTCCCCATCGCAAGATCCGTAATTTAATCATGCCTGCAAAGTCCCTTTTGAGAAGTGGGCAAATATATTCAAGGATTCTAAGAATTAGAACCTGGATATTATTCTGCCTACTATAGCTGCTGGGAAAGGATCTTGAATGCAGAACCCCAGAGGTTCCCCTTCAACCCATCATAGAGTAGGCCTGTGCCTACCAACCTTCAGTCTCCTACACAAAAGCTCAAGTTAAGGTCAAGCCCACCAATTTCTGCCTAATAGACCTGACCCATCTAATCTGGAGTCAGAGCATGCTCAATCCCTCCTTTTCAATTTAAATCCCAGTTGTGACCTCTTTCAGAATATCCTCTTACTCCCACCTGACCTCAGCCCCCTGGAGAGGTAGCAACAAAGAGTGACTGGGAGAATTGGCAATTTTCTTAGTCTGACCTGATACCTTACACAGAATCGGCTGCTCAAGTAAGTCACTTTATTTTGCCTCAGTTTTATTTCTGTAAATTGCATGTAGTTATAGCACTTGCTTTACATGGGAATTATGAAGATTAAATAAGATAATATATGTAAAGAATTTAGTGTTTGGCATAGAAATTACTCAATAAATGCTAATTTAAAAAGCAAAACAAATAAGACGAAAATGGAGAGGTTAAAAAATGGTGAACAATTACAAACGTTGCAGATGTTCATGACTCATTTCACCTAGTCTTTTGGGAAATCACCTTTCACTTTATTTTTCTAAAATGAAAACATAAAGCAGGCATAAACAAACCAAAAGAAAATGGTTGTGTGTACTGTGTGTTTGTGTGTGCAAAGTGTGTTATGTGTGTATGCATGTACCCATGCACAAGCATATGTTGGGAAGAAAGAAGTATATTCAGAAAAAATACTTTCCTTTCCTGTAGTGTATGCCTGTCATCCTAGTGACTTGGGAAGCTAAGGCAAGAGAATCACAAGTTTAAGACCATTCTGGGCAACTTAGTAAGTTCCTATCTCAAAACAAAAAAAAAAAAAAAATGAAAAGGACTTGGGATGTAACTCAGTGGTAAAGTGTCTCTGGGTTCAATCTTCAGTATCTAAAAAAATAATAAGAAGAAATATTTTCTTATATATTTTACCAAAATATACATATATGTGAAAAGGGAGGAAGGAAGAAAGGAAATAAACTATGTAAACAATATATGTAGACGAACATGTGGAAAGATAAATAATAAACAGATATATAACTGGAAGTCATGTGACTTTGGCTTGAGAGTAGACAAAAGAAACATTTTTTGGTTTTAAGCATGCCCTGATATATCAGGCATCAGCTAGTTGTCCTACCTCAGGTTGCACAAAGTACAGGCTAAATGGCCACTTAGCAGTAGTGTGATGGACACAATCGTCTGCTGGAGGGACAGACCTAAGGGTTTCTAAGATCCGTCCCAACAACTAAACATGTTTTCTAAAGTTTCTGAAGTCCCATTCACTCTCATTCTTCAAAAGCTGCTTAAGCTTCCTGTGAAATCCACAGTACCTCCACAGTTCATGATCTTTCTGACAGCAGTTGTGGTCAAAATTTTCCTGCTTCTTAAATAATCAGCCAATTGCCCTCCGATAGGCACAACGATTGTCATCACCATGTGTGGGACTGCCGACAAGAGACCCACCTGGAAGGAAAAAGCACATTTCTTCTAAGAGATGCATCTCTCTCATTTCCTACTCCCCCTCATTCCACTGCCCCACAGCCTCCACCAAATTTAATCATTTAATGTGGGATCCAGGATGGTCTGAATGTCAGAATAAACACAACGAACGAGTGAATGATTTCGAGCAGGATGATGACTCTTATTCATCACAGAGGCCCCAGCAGCCAGCACAGGGCTCGGTACTTCAAAGGCAGACCACTTGGCACAGAGTAAGTGCTCTAGTAGAGCCACCATTTGGTGACTCTACTAGTTCTTCCATAGTACCCATAGCTATGCAGACATAGACCTCTGCTAGGCTCTTGCTTCTTCCCTGTAGGAAGAAGATTTTTTTCTTTTATGATGATAGTTTGTTTCACCATCAAAAGCCTCCCTCCCTGTAAACAGCCTAATGAAAGTAGCTGGGGACACTGAAGGACATTCTTTCTAAACCATCCCAAACAATTGTTATTACTGCTACTGCCAGCACTATGGAGAGAAGAGCATCTGAAAATGAATTTTTAAGGTTCTTTCTATGGAGTAGTTTATAGGGAGAAAAGAAAACACATCTTTTTATCCTTAATATACATTGAGTTAACTTCAAAAACGCCTTGAAATTAGGTACAAATAGAATTTTTACAAGCAGCTTAATACAGCTCTGATCCTAAGAAAAAATTAAATATCCAATAAACCATGCACTGAATATATAACTTGTCTGACCTCCAAGATATTAGATGTCACAGAACAATTATGAGTTTTGATCAGCAGTTTAATTATTTTATCATACAAATATATTCTCAGAAACAAGGGAGTTAAAGTTCAAGAATATTTGAAGCATATGTGTGTTTACCTTACTTATTGCAAATCCAAAGACCTCTTCAAAATAAGCAGGCTGACTTATTAAGAGTAGATAAAAGGTCCAGCTTCTGCAAAAATTTGCCACAATGATTGCATAAACCGGCAATGATGTGAAAAATCTTTTCCATGGTGTATTAAATTTCTAAAGAGTGAAAATATTATAAGATTTTCCATGAAAATATTGGCATCTTATTTTTTTAAGAGTATGACACAATCACTAAGAGAAATACCCATATGAAAGAGGCAAGACTTTATCTTTCCATTTATACTTACATTTAGACTGGCCAAGTTGGCACCTTCTCCAATGCTTGTCTCTATATATGTCTTCTCCTCGTTGGATATTGTGGGGTGAGCTGCAGGGCACTCATAGGCCTGCAACAGCCAGAACATGTACCAGATAATTCCAAGCATACCTGCAGTTAAAAAAACAGAAGGCTTGATGATATGGTCTTATTGTCCTTCTTCTCTCAATTTTTTAATTTTTAAAATATTCCAAAATTACTATAAGAATTTCTCAGCTAAGAGAAATTATTTTGTTATATTTTCCTGTTGTTGTTTACAGGTATTTAAAGAAAAATAATGTTCTGCTAGTTAAAAAAAAACCAAGTTTAATAAAAGTATTAAATTAATCTCAAAAAATAAGTGTTCCTTTTATATAATAAACTGGTCTTAGTGACCTCTATTTTCATATAATAAACTCTTAGCCAAACCCTTCTAGAATTAAGTGCCATCTTCATGAGACATGGTGTGAACACATAATGACAAACCACTCACCATAAATATAAAAGACAGAGGCCCATCCAATGTACTGCACCAATACCCCAGCCAGGGGCATGGCAACCACTGCACCCGCATAGGAGCCTAGAACCAGAAAAGATGGAGGGAAATTGACCAGTCACCATGCAAACCTTTTCAACCCATTTTCATGTGACAAAGCTGAGGATAAATCAAACTGAGCCTGGGTCTGACTGCCTCTGTGGGACAAGCCAGGCTAACTCCCAGTGTACCCTAAAACAGGACTCCCAGGAAAGGAAGGCTACCAGGATACCCTGGAGCTTCCTCCAGGGACCATCCAGGGATTAGACCAAGATTTCTCAGGTGCCACAAAGTGGAAGGACATGAGAGAATGAAATCAGAAGATGAGAAATTTTTCAAATGTGAACAGGCACAATATTGGGTGCTGAAGATAGTAAGGGAGAGAACATATGGAACCTGCCTTGTAGAGTTCACAGCTGGGAGGATTCTCACCTCCGTCCTTAAATAAGAGACACTGAACTATTAAAAAGGATTATGTTTTTTTTTTATAGACTTGATATTTAAAAAAAGAAAAAGAAACAGTTGAATTCCAGGATGGCAGGAAGGCTCTTGTCTCCATTCACTTCCCGAGTAGATATATTTTGAAAGTTTATTTCTGTTGAATAAAAATTATAGGAGGCCATTATTTTGAATGAGGTTCTTGCACTGGACCCCAATAGACCAGACTAAAAATCAAAATGAAGTTACTCATGCTAAAGTTTCACCAATCCAAAATTAAGCTATTTATCTAACTTTTGTTTTTTGTTGTTTACCTATATTTTATTTATTTATTCGTTTGTTTTTAATGCGGTGCTGAGGATCAAACCCTATGCCTCACATGAACTAGGTAAACAGTCTGCCACCGAGCTACAGTCCCAGCCCTTTTATCTGACTTTTCAGGAAACCAGGAGAAATGAGAGAACAGCCAATATCCCAAACAGGCCAGTTTAATTGGCATAATGGAGTTCTCCATGTCTTAATACTTAGACAAAAAAGATAACCTGATGTTAGCCAGATATTTTTCTATTGCTCTGTGTATTTGTCCCTGCTGTCCTTCAAGGAAAGTAACTTGAAAATGATCAGTCTGCTTTTTGTTCTTTGTTTCTGCCTTTTTCAGACCTTTTCTGTCCATAAAACCAACCTCTTCTGTTCAAGCCATTCGAAATAATCATTTTATTTTCTGAAATGAACTGCTGCTGATTCTACAATAAAAAAACAAAGCCAATTAAGATCCTTAAGCTAGCCAGGTGCCCATCTGTAATTCCAGCAACTTGGAAGGCTGAGATAGAATTGCAAGATGGAGGCTACCCTGGGCAATTTAGCAAGACTTGTCTCTAAATAAAAAGGACTGGGAATATAGCTCACAGGTAAAGCCCCCCTAGATTCAATCCCCAGTACCAGAAAAAAAAAAAGATTTTAAATTGTTGTAATTTTGTCCTTTTACATTTCTTACTTTGTAAATACTTAACCTTGTAAATAGTTACCTATGTAAGGTAAAATAATAAGATATCTAGACAAGATAATAAGGGCTAGAGGCAGTGAAGTGGAGCACCTGTCTTCTATAGCTACAGGACATCTGGAAAGAAAACACTACCCCTGCAAACTCCCAACAAATACTAACTGAATTGAAAATTTACTATCTGAAACTCCCCCTGGGCCTTGGATGAGAAATTCTTGCTTCGTAAAAATAAGCATCATGTAAGGAAATTCACATTCCAGAATCCAGTGCTAAAGAAGATTTTTAGGAAATGGGAAGTGGGGGATCTTCCAGAGAAATGGATTAAACCATATCTTTCTGAACTGGCCTGACTCTCTAAGAAAGGCCCAACATGGAATCTGGAATCATTAATATTATACCCAAGGAAGCTGAAAGATTCATTCACAAATAAAATAGGAATGAAATATCTGTCTTATGAGGTTGATTTGAGGGTAAACTAAACTATGTATATGAGATGCTTTGTAAGCTATAAAGGGTAACGTAAACACTATATAAGCTAAACTCAAGTCCAACATCATTCTAAATGGACAAAAACTGAAAGAATTRCCTCTAAAAAACTGGAACAAAACAGGGATGTCCTCTTTTATTCAACATAGTCCTGGAAACTCTAGCCAGAGCACTTAGACAAAAGAAAGATATTAAAGGGATAAAAATAGGAAAAGAAGAACTCAAACTATTTCTATTTGACAAGGACATGAATCTATATTTAGAAGACCCCAAAAACTCTACCAGAAAACTTGTAGAACTCATAAATGAATTCAACAAAGGAGCACGATATAAAATTAACACCCATAAATCAATTATGTTCCTATACCTCAGTGATAAAACAACTGAAAGAGAAATAAAGAAAACTATCCCACTCACAATAGCCTAGAAAAAAAATAAAATATTGGGGAATCAATCTAACAAGAGAGGAGAAAGACCTTTACAATAAAAACTACAGAATACTAAAGAAAGAAATTGAAGAAGACCTTAAAAGATAGAAATACCTCTCATGTTCTTAGATAGGCAAAAGTAATATTGTCACAATGGCCATACTACCAAAAGTGCTATACAGATTTAATGCAATTCCTATTAAGGTTCCGATGATCCTATGATGTTCTTCATAGAAATAGAGAAAACAGTCATAAAATTCATTTGGAAAAATAAGAGGACCAGAATAGCCAAAGTAATTCTCAGTGAGAAAAGTGAAGCAGGAGGCACCCCAATACCAGACCTTAAATTATACTACAGAGCTATAGTAACAAAAATGGCATGGTATTGGCAGACATGAAGACCAATGGAACAGAATAGAAGACACAGAGACAAACCCACATAAATTCAGTTATCTCATACTTAACAAAGGCACCATAATCATAGATTGAAGAAAAGATAGCCTCTTCAACAAATGGAAAACTGGAAATCCATATGTACTAGGATGAAATTAGACCCCTATCTCTCATTCTACACAAAACTCAAAGTGGATCAAGGACCTAGGAATTAGACCAAAGACCCTGTGCCTACTTGAAGAAAAAGTAGGCCCAAATCTCCATCGTGTTGGCTTAGGAACTGAATTCCTCAACAAGACTCCTAAAGTACAAGAAGTGAAATCAAGAATCAATAAATGGGATGTATCAAACTAAAAAGCTTCTTCACAGCAAAGGAAACAATCAAGAACATGAAGAACAGCCTAAAACTAGGAGAAAAATTTTACCACCTGCACCTCAGACATAGCATTAATCTCCAGGATATATAGAGAACTCAAAAAACTTAACACCAAAAAAATAAATAATCCAATCAATAAATGGGCAAAGGAACTGAACAGACACTTCACAGAAAAAGAAATACAATTGGTCAACTAATATGTGAAAAAAAATGTTCAACATCTCTAGCAATTAGAGAAATGCAAATCAAAACTACACTAAGATGTCATCTCACTCCAGTCAGAATGGCAATTATCAAGATTATAAGTAACAATAAATGTTGGCAAGGATGTAGGGGAAAAGATTCACTCATACACTGTTGGTGGGACTGCAAATTTCTCCGTACTGGAAAGCAGTATAGATTTTCCTCAGAAAACTTGGAATGGAACCACCATTTGACCCAGTTATCCCCACTCTACGGTATATACCCAAAAGACCTAAAATCATCATATCACAGTGACACAGCCACATCAATGTTTATAGCAGCTCAATTCACAATAGCTAAACTAAGGAACAAAACTAGGTTCCCTTAAACAAATGAATGGATTTWAAAAAAAAAACCTGATACATATACACAATTGTATATTACTCAGCCATAAAGAAGAATGAAATGATGGCATTAAATGAAAGGAACTGAAGACTATCATGTTAAGTGAAATAAACCAATCCTAAAAAACCAAAGGCTGAATGTTCTCTCTGACATGCAGATGCTGACTCACAATGGGGGCAGGAGGAGGGAGGAGTGGAAGTTCACTGGTTTGGAGGGGAATTGGGGGGAAATGAGGAGGGGATGGGAATGGGAAAGACAGTACAATAAATTGGACATAACATTCCTATGTTCATATATGTATGAACATATATGTATTCRTATTTGTGTAACTCCACATCATGTACAACCACAAGAATGGGAAGTTAGGGGCTGGGGTTGTGGCTCAGTGGTAGAGCGCTTGTCTAKCAAGTGTGAAGCACTGGGTTCAATTCTCAGCACTACTTATAAATAAATAAATAAAATAAAGGTCCATCAACAACTGAAATAAATTTTTTTTAAAGAATGGGAAGTTATACTCCACGTATATATGTATGATATGTCAAAATGTATTCTATTGTCATGTATAACTAAAAAGAACAAATAAATTTTTTTAAAATAAAGGGTTATATAAACCAGATGCAGTAGCACATGCCTATAATCCCAGCAACTGGGAAAGTTGAGGCAAAAGAATCATAAGTTCAAGACAAGCCTAAACAACTTTAGCAAGACCCTGTTTCAAAATTTAAAAAATAGGGGCTGAGGATATGCTCAAATAGTAGTGCACTCGCCTGGCATGCCTAAGGCACTGGGCTCGATCCTCAGCACCACAGAAAAATAAAATAAAGGTATTGTGTCCACTAAAGCTAAAAAGTAAATATTAAAAAATAAATAAATAATAAAAAGGGCTAGAGATGTGGCTTAATGGTAGAGTGGCTCTGGGTTCCATCCCCTGCAGTGCAATAAATAAATAAATACTTACACAAATGCCAACTGTTATGCCTTTTGTCATGTACAGAATAACTGCACTTTTTTTTTTTTTAACCTCAGAATTCTTCAAGCCGATAAGGAAAGCACTTCAGTATGTGTGTCAGAAAAAGGCTGCTGCTCTGACTGTGTGTGTGGAGAAGGTGGTCTTCTATCCCAGGCCGATATGCTGGGAGGGGGTAGATGATACCAAGGCATGCCTGGGACAGGGAGGGTCAGGAATAACCAAGAGCAACTATGAGGCATTGAGTATTTCTATGTGCTAAGTACTCTTCTGAGTACCCTGTCCCCATGATTTTATTCAGCCCTTCAGCTTGATGACTTGGGTGCCAATATTCCCATTTTATAAGAGAAAACAAGCCTAGGGAAGGTG